CTGGGCCTCCCGGTTTTGATCTATCCCCAAACACTGACAGGCCGCGGCCTACCGGCACGAAGTGATGGCAGCTGCCAGTTCAGCTATGTTTTGAAATCAGAGTCCTACGATCCCTGGGCAAAGCAAGATCAAAAAATATCAATGCCCGGTTCTTCAAAGTCACTGAACTTGATCCCCTTGGTTTGAGGCCACAAACAGACCTGTACTTACGGGCGCTGGATGTTGTTTTTCTCACAAACTAACCGGTGTTTTGCTCCCGGCCTTTGGCCTTTCGAATTACCACACACTCAGGGACTGGCACAAGATCCACCCCGGCAGTGGTTCCGAACAGGGGGGGCCCCAGAACCCATTGTCCGAGTGAATAAGGGCGGAACATGGTGAACAACTGCGGGCCACAGCTCATATACAACAAAACCTTCCGTTGGACCACTTTAAATATGGTTGACCTGTTTTGTCAGTGTTAGAATCCTTGAGTAAAACAATGTTTCTTTGAAGTCAGCAACCAGGCCACCCATGCAATGTGCTTCTTTCCAAACCCACCCAAAACACCCTTCTGAGAAGGTACCACTGGATCCCTATACGCGTACGCATCCCAAACAATTTCTCATGTATATGAACTAGTTATATACAAACATGTACCCCATTTATGACCCTGGTGCAACTATTCCATACAGGGATGGTGTTGGTATGGCAAACACTGAGTACCCCCACGGAGGACACGGCTGGCTCTGGTGCTCCGTCGACCGCTGCGTCGCTCGGTGCAGCGTCGACCGCTGCGCTCGGCGTGTCGTCCAAGTCCTTGGCGCTACGTGGCGTCGACCCAGCTGGGTCGATTGGTTTCAAACCAGGCAGCGGCCCTGGATTCTCAACTTGCTACATCCAAGTGGACATTTGGAATGGGTTTGGAGGGTCCAAATACCTTCTAACAAGGTATTTGGATCGAACTCAGGGTCCCCCCACTTGCTCGGTCCACGCCCGGCGTGGGGCATGTTTTGAAGAAGGGGGAGTGTTCAGAAGTTCCTGGACTGAGGTCACTGTTCGTCCGACCATGTTTCACCATCTTTGGCTCTCAAAACAGTTACCTGGATCTGTCAGAATTGATGCCAAACTATCTATTCAATCCGGCCAAGTTCGGCATCAATTCTGCACGTAAAAACATCCGGCCAAGTGTATCCAGAGTAAATTGGCCAAGAGTATCCAAGCAAGGAGACAAGCAAAGGTTTGAGTGGAGACCAGTTTAAACACATCCGGCCAAGTGCATCCAGAGTAGGCAGTGAAAAGATCGGTCGATGAGCGGAACGAGGAACGATTTAGTTCGTTCAACCCCCGACATCGTTCACGACTCAAGCACCAGCTCGCTCCCGACTCGCCCGACGCCAACGCCCGTAAACGCCACACCGAGCACCCCAGCGTCGTAGCACACTCCCCGCCGGAGCTCGGCTGCCGCGGATGGGCCTCCGTATGGAGGACATCGGTGGAAAAGGAGGCTTTGAAGGAAATCGAACGAATCCTCCATTTGGCCGGGATGAACAGATCCGAGGACTGCAGTATAATAGCTATATATACCTCGAATGTCCTCATGCGTTACTGCTCTCGATCTGCGGAATGAACAACCTTTTTTGGAGTCATGAGTCATTGCCTTATATTTGAGTCCGTACTATACATGTTTCTCTATAGGTTTCTGATATTCCATGGGCACTTCCATGGGCGTTTATACACAAGGTTGCAGGTGCTACGGGCTTTTCCAGTCCGTGAGCCAAGGGGCGTTTTAACCCGAAGGTGCCTTTTTCAACCATGTTTATTTGGGTTGCGAATGTTTGTGTGGTTCACAAACCTATAAAGGTCTGTGAAACAACCGGCCAAGAAAATACGATATAGAAAACAACCACAAGGTTGCAGGTATATATGCCCTGGTCTTCCAAACCAGTCGAACTCAGTTACACTTATAGCATCTGATTGAGTTGTTTCAAGCTTTTGAACAAAACAGCGACAACATTCCGAACATAACAAACCATGTACTTGATGGAGAGGAGACTCTGCATTTCGTTGGCATCAATTGGATTCAGAATCCTAGGTACAACATGAAACACCGATAGTGGCGTCACAGTCGTTTGATAGAGTCGCGAGTCGTCGCAACGATCGATCGTATTTTCGATCGTATTCCAACCGGGGACCGATAAGGGTGCTGCACTTGTGTCTACCCTCCAACGTAATCAATATGAAAAAAGTCCGACTGTACCGTACCCACGTTTTCTTTCGGTACCGGAGATGCATCTATAGTTTTCTCTTGGACTCTTGGAACTATCATGAGAAATACCCCAAGCCAAATACCAAACATCGGAGTATCTTGGAAGATCATGAGAAACTATCCCCTATAGGGCTCCAGTCATACCTTCGAAGGTGGGACTGGGGTGGGTTTAGAGGGTGAGGAGGTACTTGGAGCCCTAGGGATCATGTTCCTAGCTTGAAAATACCACACCAAAACCAAAATCCACACCGCCTTCGGCCCGCGGCGCATCGGACGTGCGCTGCGAGGCGTCCTGGAGTGCCGGCGTCCGGCGGAGGCTGAAGGGGTTTATCACAAGCCTTTTGCGCCCAAGCCGCCCTCATCCCATAAGTACCACGATCCGGTCCGAATGCTCAGGTCTAATCCAAACCTTGGTTCCTGGATACCAGTCATCTGCCCTGTCATTGCCGTTCACTTCATCTATACAGCCTGTTCAAAGGTGACCTCGGTGTCTCTAGGTCGTGACCGCGTATGGCTGGCGATGGCGAGTCAGCGAGTCATCCTCAAATCCAACGGGTCACGAACTGGTTTGCTCCTGAAATGTCCTGTTTCAAAAGACCTTCTTGATAGATCTTTCTGGGAAAGGGGCTGATATATTTACGTGCATAACTGTACATTGAAAATCACGGAAAGCTGACATGAACATGAAAGAGTCTGGCCGACGGATGCCCTACGCACGGGTCAACAACAGCCTGGCTCTCGACAAGGATGCAGCGTGGATGAAGCAATCAAAGCCCGCACAAAGCCAAGCCAAACCTTATCAAAGTGAAAAGCCAAGCCAAGCCAAGCCAAACCTTAAATCCGATAGACAGCCCTGGCCATTTTTAGTATATGCCCTAGCCTTC